CACCACTCATCATACACCACTCATCATACACCACTCATCATACACCAATCATCATACACCACTCATCATACACCACTGATCATACACCACTGATCATACACCACTCATCATACATCACTCATCATACACCAATCATCATACACCACTCATCATACACCACTCATCAGACACCAATCACCATACACCACTCATCATACACCACACCACTCATCATACACCACTCATCATACACTACTTATCATCCAGTTTGCTCTACCTCCAGTTGGCTCTAGTGTCCAATAAGCTCTTAGTTTCAATAGTTCTAGCTCCAGGCAACTCCAGTTCCACGTTTAGATTTCGTGGCAGGTGCAGCACTTTGTGAACTTCCATGTGCAGATGTCGTGGCAGGTGCAGCACTTTGCGAACCTCCATGTGCAGATTTCGTGGCAGGTGCAACACTTTATGAACCTCCATATGCAGATTTCGTGGCGGGCACAGCACTTTGTGCACCTCCATGTGCAGATTTCGTGGCAGGCGCAACACAAAATGCGTTGTGGAGAGATAGCGAACGCACGAAATGCTGTATTTTTTTTAATGGAACGGTGGCTCCGAAGCTGGCAAGTCAAGGTCTGCGGAACGACGGTTGCGACACGGTCTCGGGTCATGGTCGGAATCATCCATGTGCAGATTTCGTGGCAGGCACAACACTTTGTGCACCTCCATGTGCAGATTTCGTGGCAGGCACAACACAAAATGCGTTGTGGAGAGATAGCGAACGCACCAAATGCTGTATTTTTCGATGGAAACGGTGGCTCCGAAGCTGGCAAGTCAAGGTCTGCGGAACGACGGTTGCGAGACGGTCTCGGGTCATGGTCGGAATCGTCCGTCCATTGGGATTAGAGTTCTTGAAGTGCAGATTTCGTGGTAGGCACAGCACTTTGTGAACCTGCATGTGCAGATTTCGTGGCAGGCACAACACTTTGTGAACCTCCATATGCAGATTTCGTGGCAGGTGCAGCACTTTGTGAACCTCCATGTGCAGATTTCGTGACAAGTACAGCACTTTGCGAACCTCCATGTGCAGATTTCGTGGCAGGTGCAGCACTTTGTGAACCTCCATGTGCAGATTTCGTGGCAGGTGCAGCACTTTGTGAACCTCCATGTGCAGATTTCGTGGCAGGCACAGCACTTTGTGAACCTCCATGTACAGATGTCGTGGCAAGCGCAGCACTTTGTGAACCTCCATGTGCAGATTTCGTGGCAGGTGCAGCACTTTGTGAACCTCCATGTGCAGATTTCGTGGCAGGCACACCACTTTGTGAACCTCCATGTGCAGATTTCGTGGCAGGCACAGCATCTGGGGAGCTCAAACCTGAGAACTGGCGACTTTGTAGTACAACTTTAGTAACTTCAGTACGCGGAGCAATCTGTGCAGCTAGAAGCTGAGAACTGGCGACTTCGTAGTACAACTTTAGTACACGGAGTATCTGGCGAGCTGGACGATGAGAACTGGCGACTTTGTAGTACAACTTTAGTACGCGGAGTATCTGTGGAGCTGGAAGCTGAGAACTGGCGACTTTCTAGTACAACTTTAGTACGCGGAGCAATCTGTAGAGCTGGAAGGTGAAAACTAGCGACTTTCTAGTACAACTTTAGTACGCGGAGCAATCTGTAGAGCTGGAAGCTGAGAACTGGCGACATTGTAATGCAACTTTAGTACGCGGAGTATCTGGCAAATTAGACGATGAGAACTAGCGACTTTGTGGTGCAACTTCAGGGACTTCAGTATGCAATCTGTGCAGCTAGAAGCTGAGAACTGGCGACTTCGTAGTACAACTTTAGTACACGGAGTATCTGGCGAGCTGGACGAGGAGAACTGGCGACTTTGTAGTACAACTTTACTACGCGGAGTATCTGTGGAGCTAGGTGATGAGAACTGGCGATTTTCTAGTACAACTTTAGTACGCGGAGCAATCTGTAGAGCTGGAAGGTGAAAACTGGCGACTTTCTAGTACAACTCTAGTACGCGGAGCAATCCGTAGAGCTGGAAGCTGAGAACTGGCGACTTTCTAGTACAACTTTAGTACGCGGAGCAATCTGTAGAGCTGGAAGCTGAGAACTGGCGACATTGTAGTGCAACTTTAGTACACGGAGTATCTGGCAAATTGGACGATAAGAACTGGCAACATTATGGTGCAACTTCAATGACTTCAGTACGCAATCTGTGCAGCTAGAAGCTGAGAACTGGCGACTTCGTAGTACAACTTTAATACACGGAATATCTAGCGAACTGGACGAGGAGAATTGGCGACTTTGTAGTATAACTTTACTACGCGGAATATTTACGGAGCTAGATAATGAGAACTAGCGACTTTCTAATACAACTTTAGTACACGGAGCAATCTGTAAAGCTAGAAGCTAAGAATTGGCGACTTTGTAGTACAATTTTAGTACGCGGAGTATCTATGGAGCTGGATAGTGAGAACTAGCGATTTTCTAGTGCGTAAATTTGATTGGAAGACATATGTTAGAGAAAACGTGGATATTCCTATAAGTCAATTTCTTCTTATAGGAAATTTCCACCGCCGGCTTGCCCGGGAACTACTTGTATATAATAAATTACGGTGATAAATACAATCCGTCGGCAACGTACCATTAAACGTCCCATCGTTTACGAGCAACGATTCTTAAGAAATTTATCCAATAACAAAGATCCTAAACCCAGAAATTTCCAGGATGATTTCGATCCCAAGCTCCTAAATCCGACCAAGTGTAGCGCCTCATAGAACCAGCGCAGAAGCAGAAATCTATTAATAATAAGGCGTGACCGATTTATTGTTTTTTCCAAGCGTCCTTTATATAAATGTATATTATAAGAAAATCTTTCTTTGCAAAAACGAAAAAATAATAATCGATATAATATTAAATATTCATTTAAATATATATATATATTTTTTTAAAAAATATATTAATAAATATTAAATATATTTAACATTATATATATAAACAATATTTAAATTTATTAAACATTAAAATAAAAAAATCTATGTATAAATAAATAATAAAAATTATAAATTAATTAAAATATATTCAATTTAATAAAATATAAATAACGACCAAATATATTTCATTTAATTAATATTACAAAATTATTTTAATACAAATATATAAATATAATCCTCAAATATATATTATATAATATAAAATAATATAATATAATATTCGATAATCAATATATTATATTATATATTCATCAAATAATATAAATATATATTTTAAATATTATAATATATTATTGAAAATTATTAATATTAATATATTTACATATTATATATAATATGATTGATAATAAATCTAAATCATTATTATATTTATTTTTGTCCATTAATCTTTTTAATGGATATCAATCAGGAACCTCAATATATTGGATTCATGACACGTATTCCAATAGTTTTGGTTCTGAGTATCAAGCCGGTTGAGAGGCTCATGTCGACGCATCTTTGACGCTGGTGCCTGGCTGCCCAAACTTTGCCCATCCAAATTGACACGTAGGACAGCAGCAGGATTTCTTGGTAGCAAAAA